ACGATTAATTTTTGAGCAACCTATTTTGCAAAACGAAGTTCCATCGTTGCTCACCGACAGGCGAATGTTACCCCATGAAAATTCGGCAGAAAACAGACTGCAAATACAGTTAAAAGAACCGCGCCTCGACTCGAATTGAACAAGCTTTCGATTCGTTTTCGACTGTATAATTCGGGGTGAAAACGCCGGGCATAAAAGGCGGCTAATTAATAATCGAACGATCTAGCGCAAACATTCGCGCTTTTCCCAAAGTGCTTTCAGCACGTCGCAGAAAGCCATTATCGAGCGCGGAACGTTGTAAAAACTTCGATAGTGCCGGGGCCGGATCGATTGCTCGCACGAGCGACGAATAATTGACGCGCCAAGTTAAACAGAGGGAGGTTTAGAAATGCCGAAAGTACGATTGCTCGCACGCGAGCAAGCGAGCGTTCGTTTTACGTTCGTGACGAAAGTATTTAATTATCCTTCGATGCAAACTGATGCAATCCCCGCGAGTATGTGCAGCAAAAATTCCGGCATGAAGTCGTATGAATGGAAAAATTCTTCATTTCTAGAAATTCGGTGTTTGCGTAATAATTTATTATTTGATAGTCGCGTGAGAAAAAATACAGGAAAATTTAATGTCATTTCGTTATTTTTATTTTAGGGTTATAAAAATTAATTTAATTTAGCAAAATTTCATTTATTACTGGAATATGCAAATTCAGATCGTGAAATATGATTTTATTATCGAGTTAGTAGTATTGGAGTATTGGAGTATGAGGTAGAGACATTTATAATTAATATAAAGTAAAACTGTTAGGAATTAATATAAGATTAATATATTCCACCATCATTTTTCATAAAATTATAAATATAAGAGTGTAAATAAGCCAAAAAATTATTGGCTGCAAATTGACGATGCGTCGTTAAAAAATATTGCTATAACCAGTGAAGATGGAGACCGATCGCTGAGAATTTTCTTGAAAAATTGAGAGTTGATAGAAATCAAGTGAGATTGATTAGGTTAACTGGCTTTCAGCTTCCGAATATTGCTTTTATCTATACTGTACAAGGATGAAGCAGTGTTGGCAGATTTATTTCATCACGCTTAATAGCGTGGTTTTTAAAGCGTTCTTTTCCTCCCAGAAAGAACAAAATTGGGAGCTCAATTTATATCCAACAATTAAAATTTTATTGCGAAGAAATTCAAAAAATTTCTTAAATAAAACTAGCCTATATGTAACAATCATGCATTAAATGCAAATGTATCGAATCTTCATTTCAAGCATAAAAATTTCACGATAACAATATTATAATTAATAATAAAAAATCAAGTATTAAAATTTCTTTCACAAATTTTCACCAAGTATTGTATATACACTTGCAAACCAATTAAATTTTCCAATTGAAAATCAACTCATCAAAATTTCCAAAAATCCCCATAAATATCTTCATATTCATCATATGAGCCGTTCACTGCACAAATTGATTAACTCCATAAAATAAAGAGTGAAGAACTGCAATGAAGTAGTGTATATTGTTTTTTAAAATTCCCTTTATAATTTAAATCGAAATAAATATTGTAGAATGCATAAATGCAAATGTAACTTTCATCTAACGGTATATAAAATTTATAAGAAGAAATGGTCAATAGGTAATCGTTAGTAATGTTATCATTTTTATGTTACTGGAAGAGTTAATCCATTTGGCAAGTGAAAAAAGTAATAAATTTAAATTTTACTAAATTTTACTTAAATTCTGATAAGACGGCATTAAAAAATTCACCGTTACCATCCATGGCTTGCTAGTGCATTTGAGTTGCATTATTGCAACGATTCACATTAGAGTACGGAGTTAATCAAAGTAATCTTTAAAATAAATTATTTATTATCCAGTGGCCAAAAATTTTTGTCGTTTAATGGTGTTAATCTTAATTATCAGGGAAAGTTATTATAAATATAAAAGTTATGACTATACCAAGTGCTTCGACACTTAAATTTAAGATTTTTCAAACAGTGGAGTTAATCGATTTATGCAGTGAACGATTCATATATTCTGTCCCAAAAAACAGAAAAAAAAAAAATGAAAATTCGAAAAACGATGAGGAAGAATTAGCCTCCAATTTAATTCCTAGTTTCGAAGATAATTCCCCGGCAATTGTCATCTCGGCAGATAAATTCGTTCCATCGAACCTTATATCGCGCAAGATTTGTAGCCAGGCATTCGTTCCTTTTTAATCACGATGAAACACGCCGCCATCGTCTTCTTCTTTGTTCCTTTCTGTTCCTCGTCCAACCCTTACATCCGCTTCTCGAATCTGGCGGAGCGAAGGAAAGGGAAAGATAGAAGGGAAAAGAATTTCAACTATTAAATTATAGAAAATTACGCTTGCCGGGACGTCGCGACGTCGGTCCCCGCTTTTTCTTCCACCCGTTTCTCTCGCGTCGATCCTTTAACCCTCCTCCTTTTATTACTTCGATTCCGGACCAGCCACCCTCTCGCCCCTTCGCTTATAATTGCGAACGTGGACCAGAGGGATCGTTACCCTCGCCTTCCCATCACCACCGTTCACTTTCCACCCTATCTTCGACTACTACTCTGTTATGATCGGTCCGAGTTACAATTCCAGTCATCGACGCCATCAGGAATAATTCGCCACCGTGTATTTCCTGATTTTTCTGCCTTTCCCTATATAGGGATGACAAAGTGGATTGTTCTTCTCGGTTTGGATTTCGGATGGAATGTGATTGTAGTAGTAAAAATCGAAACGAAAACGTTCCTATAAGCCATGAGTCGAAGAACAGCTATTCCAGCATTTCCTCTTTAACCACAAATTTCACTTTTATCTGTTGCATAATATATACTTGAACAATTGCACATTTTAACCCCGAATTTCCATAACGAAATGCAGCCTAACAGTGATCAATCATCGGGTATCATCCGGGTGCTTATTAAAACAATGCAGGGACCGGCTATCCCCGGATCGGGGCAATTATTCAAATCGCGCGTTAATATCAACGTTTGCCCCCTCTAATATTCTCGTTAATATTAACGCGTGGAACTAATTATAACGGGTCACGTAGCGGCGATCAATTCATTTTCCCTAATCGAGTTAGACCGGCAGAAACATTATACGAAATGAGACGGAACCAGAGGCAAGACAGACGTTGAATATCAAAACGGAAGTTGGTGTAATTAATTGATACGCCACGCGCCCCCACCCCTTGCCAGACGTTTCACTCGAATTCGTTCTTTATTGTCCGATCGCACGGGTCCACCGACTAATGACTCGTCGTAATTTGGCTAATTAGCTGGAATTTGCGGACAGTGCAGGTAGAACGACCCGGTTTACGTGTAATCGTGTCGCGCGAGTCGATAGGCGATGACAGAAACGTCGATCCCGGATCGTGAATCATTCGAAATCGTTATCTGCCGGTTAGTTGGTTGTATTTCGTTGGATGGTGATAGGAGGGAGATTTGGAAAGGCTGAGTGGATTTTGGGAACTGTTGCCGCTGTTGGAAACTGTTGATATTGAAATGGTTGCCTGTGTGGGTTTTATTTCTTTCGATTTTTCGCGGGCTGCTTGTGTGGTGCAGGGATTGAAATGATAGTCCGTGCTAATTGTCGAAGGTGATTAAAGGACTGGGTTTCCGACCCTTTGGTTAGTTTCAAATTAACGCGAACCTGCCTGGATTTTTTTTAAGTAGAATTGTAGTTGCGAATGTTTCTTTATTTTCTTTTGTATCGTTTTATTTATTATTATCTATGGATTGGATAGTTGGATCGGTGTCAGAAATCGGTAGATTTAGTGTTAAATTCGGGGATCAATGCGTGAATATGAATAAAATAAAATAAAATATGTATGAAATAAAAATGATTAAATTATAATTGATATAATTTAATTTATAAATAGTAATAAATTATTCACTGAGTGAATAATTTATTCTTTTGTAATTTTAATATCCACGATTGTGCAGTAATAATAGCAAAACAAATATGTAGCGATCATCATTCTCATCCTTGCTATTAGATGTATTTTGACTTCAAGGAGGTTCGAGGACTCGTTCTTGCAAATTTTTAGGGAACCTCTCCGCTTCCTATATATATATAAAAGTCGGGGAGTTATATATATATATATAACTCCCCGACTTTTCAATAGTATCCTTGTCTATGTGTAGTATGTTAGTTAACGTTTAATATAGTTTCGTCTGTTCCTAACATATTTCTCTGTTATTTCGATTTGTATATTATTGGATTGGTAAGCATTAATGGTATTTAGTATTTAATCGTCGCTTGTTATAAATTTTGAAGATTATGAGCGGTTCTATAATAAGTATAGTGGGGTTTGTAACGACCATCATTCTCAACTTCGCCACTAGATAGATTCCGACTTCGAGGGCTTTCTCGTAAGTTCTCGGAAAACCTCTAATTCCTAAACATATAACTTCCCGATCTTCCAGTAGTATTCTTGTCTAAGGTAGGGCTGGTTAGATAACCTTACTGAGGAGTCCACTGGCAGGCCCAGAACGAAACGCATCCCTACTTTTTCCTTTCGTTCCTTCTAGCACCACCCTCACAACGAGGATACCTGAGACAAACCAACTTCAACAACCGTGGGGGCAGGATCTCCTTCAAATATATCGAATTGACCAAAAAATAGTATCGACATTTTTAAAAAGCAGAGCAGTTTTGTTAAATAATATATTGACCATTTTGAATTTAGAAGCATTGCTTACTGACTAGCCAAATAATAGTAAATAGTAATAGGTATATGTGTGACAGAATCTACGCATAATCTCAGAAGTAAAGAAGGAAAGTCGAGGAAGAATAATAAGAATCGGAAGAAAATGGCTGTCCCCGAACCAGTCCATAAATCTAACTTACAAATTCACTAAATGTCCCTAGAATCGATTTATAATTTTATCGCAACGTTCATTTCACCTCAACACGGATCTTTTCAATTTTCAACCTTCTCTGGGTGATGTTTCCTAACGATGAATATTTTCTTGATTTCCAGAGCACACCTGCAAGGACTTCCGATGCACCCAGAACGAATTCTGCATCGAGACGGACCTCCTTTGTGACGGCGTGAATCACTGCGGCGACGCCTCCGATGAGGCCACCTCCACCCTCTGTGCCAGTAAGTTCTAATTACCAGCGATTCATTTTAGTGGCCCACCCCGGCCCAGGGGCAGAGGGCGAGCGCTTTCATATTTCAAATGAAATACGCCGCGGGCAAATTGATTTGTAATCGAACCGCGATGCCGGCTCGACCAGGGATCAGCCGAATTCTTGCCCGAGTCCCTGCCCCAACTTCCATTCCTGCCATTTTTAATTACGGTTTTACAAACGTGCATCTCTCCCTATTCTCCATCTTGTTTTTCTTTTCTCAATTTAGTCGCGTTGGAATCTCGTTCGAAGATTTAATCCTTATAATTCATCATAAGTCTTTGGGGTATCGGTACCATAAGATTTTTGAAATATCTATCAAAATTGATGTATGTTTATTAAAAACAGGGATACTTTAACGTCTTCTTTTTATTTTCAGGGTGTAATACGCTTCTCTTATATGTTATGGATTAAACCAAAATAATTTGGAGAATTTATTGCTACTATGTTATTTATGGTTTAGAACCACATGATAATCCACATTCAAAGGAATTAATAGATTAACACTAAACGTACCAAGCAGTGTCAAATGACCCCTTTGAAAATTTACTATATAAATCGTATATTCATGTAGAGAGGGATTTGGTGATGGTATAATATATTTATTTAATAATAAATTAGCAGTGATAGAGCATGTGAGTAACGATAAAGATACGAATTATTACAACTTATCACAACGCTCAACCTGCACTTCTGCAGCAACTCTCCTATTACAACTCACAATTGGTAGCAACTCACATTTATTAGCAACAACAACACTCTGGCAACTAACTTCGACAACTCTCGACTCGATAACTCTCCACTGACTTAGCAACTCTCTAATCGACAACTCTCAACTCGACAACAACAACCCTTACTCAGAATGTTCATGTCCTTTTATATTCTTCTTCGCACCATGCACGCTATGCACGTGTTTTCCAATGCTTCCCCCAAAATGACCAAATATGTGCTCGTGCTAAGGGCCTGACCCAGAGGCCAAGCCCCAGGGTCTTTCCGACTGATCTGGCCTTCGAACCCTCGGTGACTTTCGTAAAGCTAGGTGTACATGCAGTGGAAAACTTGCGATACTACATTCATTGTTATTTCTTTTTAAAGTCAGCTCATTTGACTTTTTGTATGTCCTTTGACCTCCTATGGTAAGAGTAGGTGCGTGTTAATTAGATTGATGTTCTTCGTGATTTAAAAATTTAATTATTCCATCGCTTCAGAATTTTTTATTTTTATTTAAACATTCTTCCAATATCTTAATTTCATTCTCAGCGTTGATTATTTTCCTGGCAAATTTGGATTATTAGATAAATTTACCTTGAACAGACTATACTACAAAAGCAATTAATTTTTCCAATTACGTTACACTGTCTTTTTCATTCTTCACATATTTCAATTAGTGGAGGTCCCATAAATAAAATTGCAAAAACACGAGCAAAGATCTGTTTTTGCAATTAATCTAATATTTTACGAGTACTCTTCTTTCATCGGGAACAGAGTCGATTAATCAGTCAGTTTCTCGACGAATACAAAGGATTAAAATGAAATTGTTAAATGTACCGGAAATCATCGCAAAGTTTCAGTAATACCCGTTACACCGTGAATTCGTCGGTTTTCTACGGATATTCGAACGCCGTTAGGGTGTATCATAAACGAAATTACAAGTTCGTATCGCTTTTGAGGTTTTAATTAATTTCGACCGAAGTTTCGTTCCAAGCTGTAATAATATCCGCAATAAAGTAATAATCTGTTGTGGCCCTGCACAAAGGGGGATTTCAAAGAAAAAGAAAATATAGGAAAACGATAAAACAGCAAATAGTCCAGGTCAGCGTTCGCCGTTTCACGAGAAGCATTTTAATCAATTTCTGTTCCCGTCAATCGACGGCATTTCATTTCTTTTGTGTGGAAAATCTATTTTACCATCGGACCTATCGGTTATGGTTCACGTTCGGAACGATTGATTGGAACGGCTTCGCGTTAATACCATGCTCGCGCCATGTTTTATTCGCGAGTATTAAACGAATAGGTTCGGAAGTTAATCACCTCGCGTTAATTAATTATCATAATCAGAGATTTCGAGGGTATACCGCGTGATGCGACTTGAATTGTTTTCGCACTGTCTTTCAAACTAGCACAATTATCGCGATTCGAATGTTGGGGAGGAACACGAAGCCATCCTTCATTTCCAATTAATATCATTTAGTTGCAGCGAAAATAATAAACTTGTATCATGAAGTGTGTAATCTGGATTAATGGGGTCGAATTCAGCTGCAACGGGCAATTCAGTATTATTCGATACTATTGTGTTGTGAGAGAATTAATAAAGTTACGATACGAAGTCTGTAAAATAATATAAATTAACATTAAACATGATTCAGATGACTATTTTTAACTTTCAAGTGGTGACCACTATTTTCATAGCATTTGTGATGATTTGACGCCAAATTGACTCTCTATGTATAGTAGTGACTTGAAGTCAAATTGACTCCGTATCACTGGAATAGTAGTTACAGTAATAGTGGTGACTTGAAATCAAATTGATTTCCTATCAATGGTAGTGACTTGAAGTCATTACTACATCATTAAAATGTTAATATTATTCAGATATAGAAATGATTTACTTGAAATGTGTATATGGTATAAATCTATGGCGTAATAGTGTACATTTTATGTAATAGTAAATAGTGCAACCAATTTGGAAACTGATTAACGAATAATCCGTAGTCACACTAATTACGTGCTATTCAGGTGCATCGTCCCTCATCTACAAAATTAATAAGCTTTACATAGTTAATGCTTCCGCTGAAATGATTATTGCGTGTCTTCCTCGTTGCTATTTATCGCACTATTGCAAAGGAGCATGTCGTTTATCTGCACGTATCGTGCATTATAAATTTCAAATCACGTTATATTATGTATACATACATAAATAATATTATGAAAATTTGACGTGGGACATTAAAAAATGATTAGAAAATATTTTTCATTCGTGAAACAAGCTTTTCTTTTTCTCCATTTTTGAAACAAATATATTTCCGTTCTCGAGATACAATTTTTCAATTCTTTTATGATAATCTACACTCTCTTTATCTTATCGATATTTACGCTATTCAACATTCCCGTCTTTGATTTTACAATTCTTCATTATATCATTCAAATGTTTACATTTATTTTTCAAACAATTTATTTCCACACAATTAAATTCATTTTACACTCGCCGCTCTTTGAATTCTCAAGTTGCGCTTTCTATTTTTAATCATTTCATCACCATAACTGCAACTCGTGTGTGTTTAACATCGAATCGAATCCTTTCCAGCCACGTCCTCGATTTGTCAGCGGTTGATTATATTAAAACATTACTGTCCATCTGAACATCTAATCGCGAAGCACAAAAGACCCGTGCTCTCCCGCGAAATTCCTTCTTTTATTTTTCGCCGCTTTTTTCGCGATGGTAATAGCGTGTGGCGCGATCCCTAATGATAAAAAGTACACACAGCACGCTATCGATCTCTCGATTCAACGAAACTGCGTGCACGTTTCGCTGTCAGAGGGTAGTTTCTGTGTTGACTGTTCTGTGGAACGCATTGTACAACGCCCGAGGGAATTAATTCTCCTTCGTTGTCAGTTGACCTGACACTTGGCAGCAAGATGAACTGCCATTGCTATTTTAATCGAAAGAAGAAAGGAAAGCGTCTCCGCTTCGTAAATGGCTACTTTGACGAAGAGTTCACCATTTGAAAATCCGGCGGGTAAATTTGTGTGCGCGTTCGTCTGTGAATGTGATGGAAATTAATTCCGGTTTCTTTTCCATTTGTCCATTCATCGAGAGACTTTGAGCTTGAAAATGTTTAATATCGTGGAGAACGATGGTAACGAGAATTAAGGGTAGTATTAACCCTTTGCACTCGACGATCTTTTCGTTACAGAAAAATAGTAATTCGAAGACTTTCTGTCATACAATCAAGGATATTTTTAAAACAATAAATAAGAAATCGTATGCAAATTAAGATGTAGAATTATTTTCAATGTTCCACACATCGTTGGGTAATTTTAAATTTAATATATTAATTGACATCGATTTTTAGAATTTTATTAAATGGTGACTGAGAGTCGCCTCTCGAGTGCAAAAAGAATTTAAGTTTGACTTGTATTTAGGCTTTATTTTATTCACGATACGTTGTATTAATTATTATTGAAAATCATTAAAGAAATATTATATCAATAGCACATTTAATATCATATTTTTTCTAGAAGGAAGGAGATAGAAAAATGATTTGTGATTTTTAATAATATTCTTGTCTAAACTATTTTTTGATATAATCAATAAATTATTCACTGTATCTCTAAAATATCTTTCAGTATCCCAATAGTTTGATAAATATTATACCGAGTCAATCAAAACAGAACATCCTCTATATACATTCTTTAAACACTCAGCTTGAATAAATTTCAATCAAATTACGTGTCCCTCAAAATCATTCAACTTTTATCTGAAACATTTCTTACTATCGACAATAAACTATTCAACTGCTCTGCAAAAAATTTTCAGCATCATCTATAGTATCTAGAACATTATAAAAATATAAATATAAGTTTGTATAAGTTCGACACTCTATATAAATAATATAATTTACGAGTCTCCCAAAATTGTTCAATTCTTGTCTAAAATATTTTTTGATATAATCGATGAATTATTCACTGTATCTCTAAAATATTTTTCAGCATCACGAATAGCTTATTCACGATAAACCTCTATACTCTCCATACCCTATGGAATTATCCAATCTGAACGATGCTTATCTACCTGACGTGAGCAGAATTTTAACATTGATTTATCTGTTTCCGTATTGCAGACTCCGAGGCAATGACGATCCTGGGCATGCAGACGATCTGGTTCGCGGTGGCGCTCGTATTTCTGATCCTGAGCGTGGCAGGCCTGGTTACAGCGTCGGTCCTCTGTTTCTGCAGGCAACGCGCCGCAACCCCGAGGCACCCCCATAACGCGCACAACGCCCAGACTCATCCTCCAGTCAGCTTCCCATGTGAGTCACAAAAAGCACACTCGTTCGCGTCTCCACGCGGTCCATTCTCCTCCTTGTGTCGTTGCTTGCTTGTTGCTCGATGTGCGTTCACCCTCGTCGTACCATCAGGCAGTCCTCTGGCCCGTTCTGCCATTCCGTTCTCGCTTTTTCTTTTTCTCTTCATCCTCCTCGTTTCTCCGCGAAATTTTTCGCGTTTCACGAACCGTTCCGGGAGAGAACAGCTTTGCCAATTCGTGGAGCAATTTAGTTGAAACTTAACGAAACTTTGCCTCATCCTCGGGTATTATTGAAGACATAAGTGGCCGAGAGGAGGTTCTCAGCGAAGTTTGTTAATATTTTTTTTTTAGTTTTCCACTGCTCCACGGGGTTGTCGGGTTCGTTGGGGATGCAAGGAAATTGGGGGTTAATGGTGGATAAATCGAGAGGCGGTTTATGCGTGGAGTTGAGTGTTTTGAAAGGTAGATTGAGCAGGGTGAGGTGGCTGTGATTGACAATGCAGGTTTGGGGTGAGATTTAATAAGTTCGCGGGTGAAGTTGGTTTATGGAACGGGGAGGGTGTGGCCAGTAGCCTTGTGTGAAATTTATTTATCGAATGCAAGTGCAAGTTTGAAAAATATATTTCTTTTTTAATATTACGAGTCTTTGCAGTATACTAGGGCAGGCTAAGTCATATATTATTGATCCGTTGTCCAATTTTGATCTTGCTATTGATTTATATGACAATGATAATATGTTTAAATCTGCTTCTCAATTGTTTATAGCAATTGTTTCTAGTATGTTAACTCTCTAGTTACTGTCAGTTTTATGTTTGACAATATTCTCACATCGGTTAGACCAAGTACAGCAGTTTAATAGAAAATATTTTTTTTAGCATCAGGTTATGGCAATAAAGAAGGCAATCTACAGTCAGTCGATTTAATCTAATTGTTAATATCCAATTTTCAATTTTAATTAACATTTCTGCAACAGTTTACCGATATGCAACTAAACTAACATCTAACATCTCCCCAATTTCATTGTTTCTCAAAAAATAAAAAATATTTTCATTAAAAAGAAGGAAAGGCAGGCTAAATTAATTAAATACTATTTTTCATCAGAAAATAACAAATCTTTTAGCTATTATGAAGGGGTGAGTGAAAAGAAAAGGAGACCACCTTTGATATTAATTTAATCTCTGACCATCAGAGCGGAATTACGTTCAATTAGCTTCTAAGATACGCTGCGAAACGGGTGGAGCCAATTAATGAACAGTGTATAATTCGACACGGTGTCAAACAACATGCGCCGTTTTAATAGTGCGTCGCGTATTAATTTATCAAAGCGGCGACTAATTAGTTCGACGTGAGATTAATTTAACGGGAGAGCGAAGGGTTAAACTCGATGAAAGCTCACGCGTGAAAGCTGCTCACAGGTTCGCGCCGTGCAGTCAGCTTTTTTCCATGAAAGGACCAAATTAGGAGGATCAAGGCCGGACGCCATTATACGTATATTTTGTTCGAGTAATTTGCAGTCGATGCGATTCCGGAATTGGATTACTTTGAATACATGGTTTTTATTTGATCACGATTGTTTGAGTTACGTGTTTGATAGCTGGCCGGTTTGGAAAATATTGTTTAACGCTGATAATCGGTATTAATATTCCGGATTAAACGCAAAGCGAATTTTTCAACCCTCCCACGATTCGGTGCAGTCCTGGTCATTTATTTTCTGGGTTTAATCAAGCCACACTGATACGAATGTTTCTGGGTGGAAGTATAATGATGAGGACATGAAGGTATAATGATTTAAGTCGGAAAATTGAATGTTTTTCGTGATTAACGAGTCAAATACAAAATCCGAGCGAGTTTCTTTTTGTTGTTTACCTCATTGCGAGAATATGTGTTAATATGTACATTAAATCATTATTTTTGTGGATAGAAATCGACACCTATATCGTCTACGTTTTTTAAGAGTGAACAAATTAATATATTTGCATAATAATATTTAATTATTGACTGATAGTGGTGGATAAAATATTAATAACAATGACATATATGACATCGAAAATTCTTTTATCTCTATTTTCCTTGGCGAAGTTTAAAAATTAATTTAATCTGGTATATTTATCCTCCAATTTCAGGATACTCGAGACTTCGTATTAGCCTCGTATTGTCAGAATCCTAATCGTATTACTCCAGAATTGTGCGCTAAATTTTTATCGAAATTTCGAAATAATCCGTCCGCGAACTATAAAGGCATAATTCTATTCCCAGGATTAAACAGAGATCAAGCGACGTACTTCTAATTCGACTGTCGAATCGTCTTAAACTGGTCTAATTACATCACGGAAGTTAATCAATTTGCGCTTCTGAGAGTTACATGGTTCCCTGGATCCCGTATAAGTTTGGCTGGTAGTTTCAGTTACATTTCCTTGTCTCTCCTAATTGTTTATTACCCGGCTGTGCTTCTGAAGTCGTAGTATGCTTTAGAATTTAGTGCAACGGAGTTGGTAATGCAGTGCAGAAATTGGCGCACCTGAGGCTACACTACACAACAGCATTTAATAATAGGTTTCCTTGGGCCGAGAATACAGAACCGTCATTTGCGTACGTATCAGATTAGGTTCTCGCGTTGTGTTTCCTTGTTACTTCGGCAAAGTGCTTTATCTCTTCTACTGAAGTGTCGTGATGAATCATTTTCCTCTTGGATCCAGATCAAACCGTCTCTCACATTCGACTTCCATGCAATTTTCTTTTTCTTCGCAAATTTTAGTATCTTTTTCAACTACTGTACCTGTTGAATGCTCGGTTTCCGAATTTTTCACAATTACTATAATTACTGAAATTATATACATACTTTTGCGAAAATTAATATTGATATTTATCGATAGAAAACTTTTAAAATTTAATTACTTATATTATATATTTATTTGGGTACAAATATTTATCAATATAAAAATATAAAAATATTACAATTTAATTACTTATATTACATATACTATATTTAGGTACAAATTAGAGACAGTTAATTCTGATATTGAATAAATAATAATCGAAAAATTTTTATTTTATTATTCGCTCTTAAATTTCACTAATTTAAGTGAATTAAATTAGTCTCATTAAAATTGCACTTCGGATTAATTTTCGGGAAAAAATTAAAATCGCAATAATTTCAAAGTATTTCCTGACGAAAGCGACAACCAAAATTACAACGGACTAGAACACAGAGATAAAAACATCGTTTTTCAAACACAAAGATAAGGTTATATCTGGGAACCGAGGTAACGAATATTAAAAATCATAATCCATCACTCGAAACGTAGCCAACTTCTCGGACTCTGTCCCAAATTCATTTTCCATGTTCCCGGATGGCAGATTGGAGCACCGAGTACAAAATATCGCAGCGAAGATGCGGCCGATAAATTATTGGCTGATGGACGAGAGAAAGCAATCGAAGTCGAGCGAGAACAGGACCCATCCACGGTCGCGAATAAATCTTTTCTCGACTCTGTAAAAGCGGTAATTCAAGAGCCAGAGGTTGAATCTTGCACTTACTTTGACTGCGAATCAGCGAGAGCGTGTATTTCATTGGGCTAACGCGGGGCAGGCGCGAGAACCGGCGTCGTTGCTCGAAAATTTATTCTTCAGCCTCGCGTGTAAATACGAAGCCAGGGAACCAACGTGCGACTGGTAAATACTCACTCGTGAACCGATAATAAATCTCGAGATTCGCTCCTTATGCCCGTTTCTGCGTATGTATATTTCGATTGCCCCTCTCTCTCTTTTTTCCCCCCTCGAGTCCACGTTACACCGTAATCTCTGCATTAACCTCGCAGCTTGGGAATTTATTATTTCCCGTATCCTTCGAACGGAAATTACAGCAGCGGGGAAAGCAACGTTGCAGCATGTAATATATCGCGGGGCACATTTTACGGGTCCGTGTAAAATGGCCGGCGATAGGTGTCTAATAGATTCCCGACGCGACAAAGCGTTCTTTATTTTCGCCAGCGGTGAAATAGCACGCGGTCCGGCAAATAAAACCGACGGAATCACGTGAAATCGATGTCACGCGGCTGTATTATTCCTAACGCGGCATTGTAACGCGCGATAAAGTGGAAATAATGACCGGGAGATAGAACGGAGTTGGATAAGTTGTAAAGAACCGCGATTCCGCTGTTAAGAAGCGATTTGCGCGAGAAAGTCCACGGAAAGTGATTTTATTTGGAGAAAATGCAGGGTAGAGGAAGGTTAAGAGGCGTTAATGCGCCGTCCGACATTATGGAGAACGCTCGGCGGTGCAGGACTTCGCGATGAATGTGTTAGATTATGTCGTATCGCGAAATTACTGTTTTTCTGGGTCCATGTGTTTGTAATACGTTATTTTTATTCATTTATAATATCTATTCTTATTCAGAATTATTAATTATTCAGAGTAAAAATAGTTAGAGAGAAGAAATTAATAACTCAATTTTAATTACATTCTGCCTACTATAAGGAGAAAGATATAAAATATTTTATGAGCCTCTACAATAGCAGATTAACATGGAATAATATCGCAATAATATAAATGTAAATTATAGCGATTATTTATTTTACTTTATCACGACTAGAATCGAAAACTTTTTGACGTGCAATTTTTCAAATCAGTCAACGGTATTTTTACCTGACACGGTATATCAGATTTTAAAACATTTTTCTAGCAAAAATCAGATGTCACGAGGATCCACAAAATATTTGCAAAATTGCTGTCAAATTACTTCGAAAAATACATGACCCACAAACATAGAAAGGCGACAGTTCCACGATATAAAATCTCTTGCATAACACAGATGCTTCAATAACGAAGCATATAATTACAATAATAGCGGCCGGAATGCACAAAAATCACTTTGCCCGAAATCTCGCGAGCTTTCGTTGAATTTAACTGCGTCGCTCTGATTCGTCGTTGTAAATGCGCGGATTTGCAGATTTTAGGGGCCATGATGATCCACTTAAACTCGTCGGGCGATTATCATAATGTCA